TTACAAACCACCGTAAAAATAGATTTGAGCTTAATATCACGGTTATTATTCCTTTTAGCTAACAAACTGCAAGACGCAGCTGCCAATTCTTACAAAAGTGAGTGTGTTTACCGCGTCAACTCAGACTTGAGAAAAAAGATCCAGACGTTCCTGGCGTTTCAAAGATGTTGTCCTGTCAAACAATTGGAAATGAAATGGGGAAGACCTCTCACATCTCAGTAAACAACTGTTTCATTATTTGCCAGAAAAATATTGCTCGCGTGAAAAATTCTTGCATTTCATGAGCCCGCGTTCGTTTTAGAAAAATTTGTATAGTACATTATGTAAGTGGATTTGTACCGTATTGAACCTGGCATCTTGACCGACCGATGGAGTCATACTTCATTGTACGTGTGTATTAAAGACTTCAAAGCAAAGGAAAGCAATTATGGGGTTGACAAGTCAATATAACCACGTAAATGTATGCACCAGTTAACAATAAATGAAGATTATTTCTGAGCAATTTATTTCTGAACTTCCTTAGCGCATTCCTATCTTCTGAGAGGAGGGGACTGAGAGGTGGGGGTAAGGGTTGAGGGTTGAAGAGTGAGGGATACTTGATAAATACCAATAAAGAGAAAGGAACTCCGTAGAAAATATACACAAGTTCATAAACCTGCGCAAGGTTTTCTATTCATCCAAGAATAGATAAAGGTCATTGACGGTGGTTACCTTAACATACAGTCTGGTGGGTGTGTTCAAAAAAATACGTTCGGGGTTATTTGGTTTGCCAGTCGAAAGAAAGGTCAGAAAGGAGTCAGAGGTTCCAACCCCCCCCCCCCCCCCCCCCCCCCCCTTTGCCACCTTAATCATACCAAAGAATTATTAATAGATTACATTCCTATTTCATTTGTGTAAAATTCACAGAAAAAGATCAAATGATTGCAACGAGTTGGAAACCATAATTCTTTTTCTACTTAGAAGTTTGGAGAACATGTTTTCCCGAACAAAACTTAGCTCAACGGAAAATTATCAGTTGCTTCACTAGCAATTAAGAATGGCTTTACTTGTCCAACCAACAGTCAGGACTAGTGTTGTCATTTTTGGAGCATATAAGATACCTATAAACACTTACGAATAACATTAAGCTACATTTGAAAGAACTTGAATTAACCGGAAGCCTATATTCATAGTCTTTGAAGGAAAAAAAACTCAAAATTAATAACAGATTGGTGAATGATCTGCAAGGTTACTCGGCCATACAACCGTTTAAATTCTTCCACATCTTCGTGCGAGTCGACAGATACGGGCTTGGTTATCTGTATCACTCAGAGGTATAGATGCCCCGTTACACCCAAATCCGGCAAGACCTGCGTCTTTATCTCGATGAGTTTTCCTCTTAAAGCGTGACATTCATTGCACGCACTTTTACTGGTAAATTTATAAATAATAATCTTTGGAAGTGTATCTGAGCTTTATGACGGGAGGAAATGAGCTGTTAAGATATCTTCTTTCTTAATTGGGACATTAATCACTCTGTCGATCACCATGATTTTATAGTTGATCAAGTAGTCTTCACTGGCTGGCATTCCATACGTTTCCAATCAGTTTCACGATCATTCTGTGCATTGCTTTCTGGTGCGGCATCAACAATTTCTTGGTTTTTATTCCTTTTAATTTCAAATACAAACGTGAGCGACTGCCACGCGTATTTTTCCTTTGACAGTCAGTCTTTACGATCATTCTTAGCATAGCTTTTTGGTGCGACATCAACAAGTTCTTGGTTTTTATTCCTTTTATTTCCAAATGTGAAATCGAGCGACTGCCACCACGCGTATTTTTCGTTTGCCAGTCGGAGCTAGGAAAAAACATCAGCAACGGCCTGTGCCTTTTTGAGTTCAGTAAACCGTTATGTTATTCGGTCAATTTTACAGTCTCAAGGCTTTATTGCGTCTTTAGGAGGTGTCTGAATCTTCAGTTTAGTAGCCAAAGCCGTCCGCCATTATCATATAAACTCATTCCTCGCTCATATTGCTCAGACTATTTTTGCTTCTATGTTTCCATTTTATTCATATGCGACGGAAACGCTCACTAGCACTCTCAATAAGACTTCTCCCCCTCCTTTTTTTTTAATGGTAAAAATGAAATCTCTATACCGACAATTTATATAAATGAATAAATCAAGAAGTTTCCAGACGGTCGAGCGGTAATTGTGGAGCACCGGTTACAACGGAAGTCATCAGCGTTGAGGGATCGAATCACGCTATAGGAGTGATTCTCAGGTAGCTTTGGGGATTGAGTGGGATTTAGAGTTTGCCAACAAAGAAATACTCCCCCACCGGCTTGGGATAATTCCTACCTGGAAAATTCTGGTCACGTGTTTAACTAACATAACAATTTTTTAAAACTATCCTCTTCATCGTTTTCTTTTTTGATCTGTTATGCTTATGGGCCACTATGGTATGTTTCCTCTTAATTTTTTCAGTCGATGAGAATGGATGAGGGTTGAACACCGCAATTTTTTCAATACAACCTTCTTTTCATTTTTCCATCATCGTTTGACCAACACCTTTTGTTACTAATCCTCGGAGCTTTTTTCCAGGCCATTCGGTGATCACGACATTTTCAAAGACATCTTTTACAGAAACTATACAATGAAGATTGGATGAAATGGAAAAATCCAATTATTCGTGCATTTTCCTAACGCGAAAAAATTTTTCAGTCACTCTTTTTAGTCACTTTTAGGGCAACTAGAAATAGCCTTTTCCAGGCTCTCAGTCAATACCATTGGAGACGGGGAAAGGACCACAGAAGCAAGCGACAAACAGCGGTTAAAGTTTTCAGGGAAACGACATTTTTCCCTTTACCGTTTTTTGGGCGCCCGCTCTTTGCTCATTACAAATCACCGAGAGCCTGGTATAGATCAGACTAAAGACCCCGTACTGCCGAAGGTTTGGCCTCCCTTTTTACTGACTTACTTGACCTTACCTCCTCTGGTCAAAAGGCTCTACCAAAAGGTTGGAAAGGGCCTCATACATAACATGCATTGCTTGTAATCAGCTGGCCTATTTTACCGCTTGATTGGCATTTCTCACTCAAAATGTTTAAATTAAAAATGCATGGACACGAAAATGTCAACTTGGTTTTATGACGTACAGAATAATTTAAAATAAGCTTTAATTTGGTTCGGTTTGCACTGTAGTTGCTTATAACAAGCCGCGGCTCATTAGTTTGTAGTATTTCTGAAATCATTCAAATCAGCCAGCCAACATGATTGTCTAAGGAAACATTTAAGGTAGTGAATTTGTTTCATAGACAGGTAATTCATGTCTAAACTGTTATACGGAATTTCTACTGAGTGATTAGGGCTGGATATCGTTAACCACTAGACATATTTTTTTTTTTGGTGGATAGTGCGGTATGTTTTCAAGTGATAACACTATCCACTAGATAACGATTTCTCCATTGAATAACTTTATCTTTCGACTACTTGACCGAGGCCTTTACTTACTTTTCTTTCACAAGCAGAGAAAAGTTACCCGCTGAAATTCGTAAGGTGGGACGCGAGAGCTTAGTCAGTGATCCTGATCACCGGCTATAAAACTCAAATTAGCGCAATCAGATCCGACGAATTCCATGTGTCTATTGGAGAGAAAATAAAACAGAGGGTAACACTAGGTACTTCAATAAATCCGGAAATGATTAATTGTATTCCCCGGTTAATGCGAGGGTAAGAGATTTCACTCGAAGTAATACGTAGTAAGAAAATAACTAAAATAAAAGCTCAAGTGAAAGAAAGGTAAAGATATATAGAGTGTATTTTACTAAGTTTTACGTAAAAGTAGCTGTATCACGCAGCAGAAAATCCACTGATCACATCGTACTGCTTGTGCAATTCGTCTGCCAATATTATTTTTAAGAATAACGAGATATCTCGCTTCAACTTTCATTTACTGTAGCTTAATAAAAAACTTCTAGGACTAGAAACTCACGCGAAAGTAATTGGGAAACTGGTCCCCTTCTTGTTTTTGAATCTGCACGACATGCGTAATGGTCAAAGTTAAAAGTAAAGCTGGTTCTAAGTGAACACCCTGTTTTAGTATTTGCAATATTTCTTGCATTTGTTAAGCTAGTGCGTGGTTGAATGTGAAATATTAAATCTTTAGTCATTCCATAGTTCAAACCATGCCCTCTGTTTACTTTATTCTACCAGTTTATTTAGATTTGGTGACACTATTTAGCGTCATGTGATTTTTTGTTTTCTCAGCTCCTCCTCAACGGAAGTCGAATCCTTTAAATCTACCTGCCTGGGTTTTACATAAATCATACCAAAATTGAATCCATGACAATCAACTTAGCCTCGAGGTATGTAAAGCTTTGCTGAGAACTTGTCGGGATGGTTCAACTTGGGAGCAATTAGCTCTCCGAGTTTACACACAATAGCAACTATCGCATTGGTATTTGCTTAAAAGTGTTGAGGTAAATCAAACTAAAAAAACATTGATAAAAAACTGTTACCAAGTGAAACGTATGCAAATTCTGAGCTTACATCTATATTGGATAGCGGCTGTTTTAAGATATATCATGTATTGTTTTTTTATATTTTAAATTATATTCATTTAAATATTCGTTTAAATTACATTTTTCCATTAATTTTCAATACTCGCGTGTTATTATCAAATGGCTAGTCATGTCCTCTTCACAAATGCGATAAGTGAAAGATTCTTCTAAACCAAACTTTTAAGGTTTACGGATCCCTCTTAACTGAATTGTTCCACTTTACTAACCTCATCAAGAAAATAATTTTTCGCCTATTCCTTTTTCCCACTCTTAAATAAGAGCTTAGACCACTTTTGAGGTTGGTTACTGAACATTACCGACTAAACAGGTAGGCTACGAGTGACAGAACATATCGATACTCTATTGTTAAGTATGCTATAACGAACGAAAAAACCTTTTTTTCACAAATATGATTTTTTGGGGGGTAGTTCGGGGAAGGGAGGGTTGTCGCATCACTGCTCTAGTAAAATGTTTTGTCACATAGACGTGAACTCTGGTCTGTTTCAGGCGTCAGAAAAGGAAACTACGGAATGTCGCCATTGTACATCGGTTTTGCTATGACCTTCTCAGTCATGGTTATTGTAAATTTTATTGGGAACTCCCTAGTAATCTCGGTGGTTTTGCTGAACAAGTCCATGAAGACGCCTATCAATTATCTCCTAATGAATTTAGCCGTGGCTGATATGACTGTGGCGTTATTCTCCAGTGTGCAGTTGATCATTTCACCGGCCATATCACACCCACCCCGCTTGGGATGATAGGCGCAATAGCTTCCATATTCTCCTTAATAGCTCTTGCTTTTGAACGCTACTGCGCTGTCCTGCATCCTCGCAGTATACGACTTAAACTCACCAAGAGGAAAATCCTGCTTTTGATCATCTTGTGCTGGTTTTTCTCTGTTGTCTTTACTATTCCAGGCTTTTGGTGGATGGTCTTCTTTCCAGGTACAAATACTTGCGGTCACAAGTGGACGAAACAAGTGTACGCGGAGGTTTACACGATAGGTTGGACGATTCTTGCTGGTTTGATTCCCATCAGCGCTATGGCAGGGTTGTACTCAAGAGTGGTCTACCGTTTGTGGTTCACAAAAGATACAACTACAGAAGCATCCCAGAGGGCCTTACTTCGTTGTAGAAAGAGAGCTACAAAAATGGTTATTGCAGTGACGTTCATATATGTTCTATGCTGGGTTCCTGAGCTTTCAATCTATTTTCTGGGATTTACTGGGCTTATGAAACTAACATATCTTCATCACGGTATTGCGTTGAGTTTGATCGTTTTCAATTCAAGTATCAATCCCGTGATATACAGCCTCCAGAGCAGCACTTTCAGACGCCATGTATCTGACCTTATTCGTTGCAAACAAACCAAAAATCGCATTTTCCCAGGCGGCAACAGTACATCACAAACGCGCTAACTCAAATCGCTAACTGGGCGCTTACAATCTTTTACCGTGAGTACCTGAAACAAGAACAGAGGATTCAGTTTTTGTTACGGATAAACTACTTTTAAAATTTAACACAATAAACCTTTTTGAGAGCTGTATATAAGAAATTATGAAGACAATGGGCACAACGAGTGTACGAGAAAATCGAAAATTGCTGAATCATCATGCTGCGTGGATTACAAGGTGGTGAAGAGTTATTACCCACTATTCCCATTTGCACTTTGTCTAGTATATACGTATCATTTACTGAAATATGGTAAAAAGTATGTATATAACTGGACCATGAATATCAGTGAACAAAAGAGTATTAAGTACATACATGACGTATAGCTATGAGACTCTTTTAGAATTTAAATTTGAATCATGTTCATGCTACTACAGGCAGTTCCTACAATTTTGAATTCTTTGTGGACCCGCAGCAGGTTATTGGCATAAAGCCGACTCTAAAGATCCTGGGCGTTACGCTGGACAATAAACTTTCCTTCAAAGATCACGTAACAATTACGCTAAAAAAGGCATATGCAAAAATCGCCGCTCTCCGCAGAATAAAGCGTCTTATACCTTCCTCTATTATGATCTCTTTGTACAAAACATATGTGTTACCTCATTTAGAATATTGTTTCCCTCTATTGTTGGGAATATCTACTCCCCTGAAAAATAAGCTGGAAAAATGTAAGTTTTACACGTTAAGAACTGTGCTGGTAGAGTTTCAGGGGAGGTTCAGGATTAAGATTAGGGGTAAGGGGCTAGGTGATATTTTTGCGTTTTTTTCGTCATATATACATATATTTAACTTGTACATATATTTATATACACATCTGTATTTTACCTGTCAAGCGTTTTCAACATGAGCCATTAGGCTCGGGGGATTGGGTAACCACCCCCTACGTTACCGACGTAAAATAAATTGTATTGTAGTGTATCGGTAGATGTACGATGGAATTCACCTACAACAGAACAAAAATTACCATGCTAGCTCTGCCTCATTGCAAGTTCGCCTCCTAGCTCCTTGCGTTCATCCCCTGAGGGAAAGTAAGTTTAAACCAGTTTACTCCCAAATTTGACCACTCTTTCCTTAAGGCAGAACGTAATCTTCTTCAGTCGAAATCATGAAATGGTTCGACCAACATGCATTTTTTTATCTGAGTTTAAGGCTAGACTAGGAAAGTGCGCTAAGTCGCCATTAAACACTAGGTCCAACAACACGCGTGCAAAGAATAGGAGACGGAAACTACTTCCTAAAATTTGTGGCGAACATATGCATAAACTCTTGTTAATCCACATAGATAAGATTGAAGTAATGTAGTGGCTTTACATCACTAGAGCAATAGTCGTGCGTCAGTTGACGCTGCTAGGAAGTTGCATATTGAACGATCTCTGCTATGGTAACTTTACAACTTGCATGTTGATCAAAATATCATGATTTCGTCAGAAAAGGAATGCATTCTGCTGTGATGAATCGAGTTGAAAGATTTGGGTGGGGAGGAGGGGGGGACTGGCAAAGTGTTGGACGAACATGTAAAGGTGGAAAGGGACGAATTCTCAACGGGGCGAAACCTCCAGATACCCAATTAATCACACTAAATAAAACTTTTGCACAGCTGGAATCATCCAACCTATAACAATCATCACTCGAGACTATGATGGAGCTGGATGAACGTAGTTTAATTAACCAAAATTATAAAGGTTATTAAAACATGGCCGAATCTACACACTACCCGCCCTCTAGACGCATGTCTACTACATTGTAGAAAATACCGCTGATCAATACACTACCCACTTGTTTCGCCATGCGATCTGAAACATACTTTTTATGCCTCGTGAAAGTGGCTGAGGTGATTACGGTCAATTTGATGTTGCACAATTTTATTGATCTTTTACAACAGCCAACGTTTGAAAAAGTTTGAACGCGACCCAGAAAAACTGTATCAACTGTATGAGGTTGAAACTTTAAACTTGCAGGGCCTCCTCTACCACAATTGTTAAAAAATGATCACTATCGATCTTTTTCAAACAATTTCAACCGTATAATTAGGAGAATAATGTCACAATCAAACGAGAAGCCTGAAAATATTGCACAAATATTTCGTTTCCAAAACTGATGAAACGACACTCGGCGCATAGTTGGAAGCCGAGAGTACCATATGTTCGCATTTCTTCAACTTAGTTACGAGGAAGACTTTCTTATAAGAATTGTCGAAACGCTAATCGCAGTCACCAAGCAAATAAGCTTTTAAACGTGATTTTTGGAGCACCTGCATTCTACATATCTGGACGTATACTCGAGACAATTCTGTTTTTGGAAAGGGTATTCCTTTCAAGTCAAGTTTTAAAAAAATCTCTTAACCACATTAAGGTAAGGACAGGTGAAAATTTTGTTACTAGCTAAGATATTAGCCACACAAGCTTGCCGGCAATGTAAAGCAATTTTATCACAGTGGGAATCTATCTTGCCCTGTTTTGCTCTCACTTAATTGAAAACCAGGAAATCGATCTTTTAAGATTACTTTCCCGATGGTGTGCTTATGAACATCGACCACGGCAAGAAAATTGGTCTTCTGTAATTATACATTGAAAAGAAATGGTCGAGCAGTGATAGTCAATTACGTTAAATGTAGATAACAATAAACCACTTTACTCGATGGCGTCAAAACTAAAAGGGATTCATATAAATATCACTGTGCGTTTTTTTAATTGCAAGTTCAATTATAAGGCGATATTTCCAAGTATCTTTAAATGCTGATATTTATATGATAAAGCTTGCTCTAGAAGAATTTTCTCGCAAAAAATTATGCTTTCTGATAGGAAAAAAGATTGAAATTATATAGCAGCCCAATATTCTTTATTGTTTAGTTTTCTCCCTTCTATCTTTTGGAAAATAGTTTGTTTACCCTTTTTAACACCACTGATATTGGAGGGCCGGCCATGCCGTGAAAGATTCATAGTAGCGGTGTCAAAGCATACGTGACACTAAGATCACTAGTAAGTCATAGAGTGCCTCACCAACCCATATTAAGTTTGTTTTCAGCTTCCTGCATAGACCCCTTTTTGTAAATTTTGTCGTTTCATAATTTTCATTACTTTTAATTGGAAGAATTTTGGTGCTGTAAACATATCACATGTATCCCGAGAGGTGTTGTAGCGCAGCTGACAGGTGCAGTGTTTTTGACGCGCCTGAGCTGTGATTTTCTCAGGCAAAGGTAGTTGGGAACACGACTTCTCCATCATATCCCTGCAGAAAAACGTAAGTATTAAAAATATCTATCGCCTTTGATAGACATACTCTCGTCGTATTAAAAATTTTAGGATACTATTCTAAAATGGAAGTTCTCTAAATATGGTCTCAGCTGATCTTTACTGTAATATGAGTTTACTTTAAGGATATTCTGAAAAACTTACAAAATGTCTCAAGTGGTGACAGTTGTATATACTTTGTGGGAATTGCAGCAGAGCTTAACTTCACCACGACGGTCGCTCATCCCATTTATAGGTTTACGTGACTTTGACTTTTCCTTGACCGCCGGGTAAATAAAAATGACGGAGTAAAATAGGGGCAAGCAATTGCATCGAACTTTGCTATTTTTGGCCCGACCAAGTACTCGTCGTTTGGCCGGGCCGATATCATGGTTTAAATTCAATTGTCATCGTTCAATGACGTTTTTGGAAACAGGTTAAATAATGTACAGAGTTCATGTTTGTTTATGAATGCAGAATTTTAGAACTATTTTTGCTTTACAGTCGATGGAGGTAATGAGACTGATACCCATTTCTAAACTAAGCTCATATTGTACATATTGCACAAATTGCTAGGTTCTTTGAAAATTGTAGGACATCAAATTAATGTCACTCGGTGGCTTTTTGTTTTTAGAAACTCAAAACTTAATCGTAAAATGGTAAATCAACCTAAAGAAGAGGATGGTTACCAAATGCCAAGGATGTAATCTCGTAACCACAGAAACAACCTTCTGGTCACCAAAGTAAACCGCAAAGCAAGCTTCCAGTGTAAGACAATTTCTTAAGTCTTTCACGGTCAGTAAATAAGACGTCAGGAAAAACTTATTCCTTCCAGAGCACGTCGATACGTTTGATTGGTCAAATGAATAGAAATTTTACCCTCCCTACGCCCAGTTCTTGGCGAATATTTTAGAGGTTAACGACCTAAATTGCTAAGATATTTTGTTCCCTTTAAGAGAAGTAATTCGTGTTGTAACTGACAGTATCATCGACCAAACGAAAAAAATGAAATGCAAAAATTTCCCAGAGGTATTATAGCCCATGATCACCTTACATGCCTGAACTGCTCGACGATTCCGATAATAAATTCAAAAGCTGTAGGTCAAACACATTTTAAAAAACAAGAGAGCTTCGAAATCTAGAACTTAGATTAGAGGTAAGAGGAGGGGTGAAATGGTCTCTAAAATTCGAGCTGCAAAAATCACATCGTGATGGGATGAGTGAAACCAGCTTTTTTTGCTAAAGCTTTGATGATATGGTAGAACGAGCAGAAAGACTGTTAAAGGTTTAAAAGCTAGTTCGGCCAAATATAAACATATATGATTAAGGGGTTAGTTGTGCTTCCAAACTTATTTGCGTTTCTTTGAAAATGGTATGCGTAAAATTCCCTATCAACTCTCGACAAGTTCATCACTTCTCAAACACATAACAATTACGAGTTGTTATTAACTGTTACTGCAAGACGATTGTTGATATATTGATTGTAATTCAGTAATAAAAGATAGGGGTCATTAGACTTATTTCTGACGTACAGGCACGTAAAGTTAAAATTAAGGGTGTTCAGTGAGAGACACGGTAGCCCTTACTATTGTTGCGCTGAATTCCGGGTCGGAAAGTCCGCGTTGGAAAGCTTGACCAGGTCATTGTGTTGTATTCCTGGAGTTACTTTTATCCTCACAGGAGCCTTTCTCTCCTCAGTAGTATGAATTGGTACCGACAACTTGTTAGGGGAACCAGGGTAAATGCTGGGGGTAATCTGCGATAGACTAGCACCCCGATTCAGTGGGAGTAGCAAAAGCTATAGTCGCCTAATGATACGGAAACCGAAACATGTTCCGGCTGTGTGAGCCACTTAGTTCCATTGCCGACTTCACTTCACCTTCTAAAAGTGTGTAAGGAAATGATCAACACATTGTCAAAAATGATTGGCTACTTTTTCAAGAGAACATACGGAGTAGTATCGATCCATCAACGAAATGGTATACAGGCATCACGAAAGCATTATAGGGCCACTGTAACGAATGTCTTTGTCCTTCATCATTAAATGATTTATTCCACACTGTGCAATTAAGTAATGTTCCCCTGTTTTCCAGGAACTCCAAAGATGGGGGACGCTCTTTTCTTTGGACTAACGCTTACTTACTCAATTCTGATTGCTATCAATCTTATCGGTAACGCTATGGTCATTCTCGTTGTTCTCCTGAACAAGTCCATGCAAAGGCCAATCAACTACTTGCTTGTAAACTTGGCTGCTTCGGATATGACTGTGGCGATTTTTGCCAGCATCCAATTTCTCATGGAGCCAACACTTGCTGATGCTGAGCCATTGACAGCAATATTTCTTTGCAAGTTTTTAACAGGTGGAACCTTGGGTTGGGTTGGTGCAGTATGTTCTATCTTCAATTTAGTTGGCCTCGCCATTGAGCGCTACTACGCTGTCATTGTCTCTCACCGTCATCGAGGCAAGCTTACAAGTGGCAGGTTAAGGGTGTTCATTTTTGTCAGTTGGACGCTAGCTCTCATTTGGGCTGGTCCTGGTTTCTTCATAACTACTTATATAAAAGAATCCCAAATGTGTGGACATCAGTGGCCAAAAGAGATTTACGCTAAGATGTACACAGTCGGATGGTCGTTTGTAGCCGGTATAATACCTATAGGAATAATGGGATCATTATATTATAAAATAATATACCGTCTTTGGTTCACTAAAGAAAAGGCCACGGAAGCTACTCAGAAGGCAATGCTGCGGTATAGAAAACGAGTTACAAAAATGGTTATAGCCGTAACAATCATTTATGTACTCTGCTGGGGACCTGAACTTATCATTTACTTTCTTGGATTTCTTGGTGTATTTACATTACAGGCCATTCATCATGGAGTTGCCTTCGCTCTTATTGTGTTTAACTCTTGTGTTAACCCTATTGTCTATAGTTTTCAAAGCAGTCAGTTCAGAACACATCTCTTGTCTTTGATTCGCTTTAGAAGACGTGATAATCGAGTGGTACATCCAATCAATAGATCCCACGGCTTTGCACTTAACTAATCTTACCTACATTCTCAATTCTAAAAGTTTATATTTAAAACATCGTTACTGTCACAATCATTTTAAAAACCACAGGAACTTAAAGGGGCACTGCATTTGGCACGCTACCCTTGCTGATGGATGCACAGAACAAGGTTCCTGAAGGGCGAGAGATTAAATCCCATCGCAATACTTGAGTAGGTGGAGCCCACGACAGGTAACTCTAACTGTTAGTTAATTCGAACTCAAATCTATGTTACCACAGCATAATTTGCTGTCATTTTCTTGTAGCTAACTCGACAACCCCGCAGTCTTTCTCGTTTTCCACTGCAGTTCGAGTTAACGGTCCAGGGTCTCACTGCATTATAAACTAAGCTAATTTACCCAACTAATTGGTGGAACTGCGTAACGGCGAACTAATAATGGACAGGTAATGACCATGGCCAAACGAAAAAATAATCTTCGTTAAGCCCCTGACATTTCATCGTCAGAACGTTTACAAAGAAGGATGCTGAAAGTTTCGCGTTCTTGGTGTGGTAGAGCTTTGTAGTCAAGCGAGCTTATCTCTTCTTTTGTAAAAATATTAGAACGTTTGTTTATCTCGGTTTAAATTTCAAACGAAGAACAAGAATCACGTGTGATATATCCTCGTGCGCGATCCATGTCTATAAAAGCGAAATGCAATAATAAACGTTGGCAAAGTATGTAAATTAAATTTGCCATCAATAAACGATAGAGCTAATGAATGGGAGAGAAATAAGAGTAGAAGAGATGATCAAGCTTAAAGTGTATAAGTGTGGATAGTATAAAAGTTAAGTTAACTTAAAGGCTTCGCGTATGGCAAAGGCCATTCCTCACTGTGGGGTGGTGGGGGGGGGGGG